CTTCTCTCTCTCTCTCTCTCTCTCTCTCTCTCTCTCTCCTTTCTGGTCAAATTAAAAAATAAATAAAGTTAAAAAAATTCTTTAGAAAAAAAGAGAAGAATTTGAAGAGACTGGAAGCAAAGATACTTACTACTTAAGTCAAGAGAACCATACTGCAGGTGACAAGTACCAAGGTATGTGCTAGTTTGAATGAAGAGACAGATTGGGAAAACAGAATTGATAGGCCTTTCCAAATAAGTGAAAGAGGTGAAACAGCTGGAATAATGGGAGCATCTTTAACTGGCAAGGAACTGAGAATAGTTTTCAAGGAAGAAATAGAATAGAATTCTTCAAAACTCAGAAATGCTTGAAATAGAAACAACCATGGAACTCCCTCCATCTCTGTCTTTTCCTAATGCTGTTGATGGCTTACTCTCCATGTACAATGACACTCCCTTCCCCTTAAGGTTAAAATGTCTTAGTAAAGCAAAATGACAGCAAGTAATATGTATGTTTATACACACACATTAATTTTATTATCATTATTATTATTTTTAATTTGACCAGCGCAAGACAGAGGGAGAGAGAGCGAGAGGAAAAGTGAGAAAGCAAGGTGCCAGGTCCAGAACTTGAACCATGGTCAACCATGTTGGAGTCCAACACCTTTAACCACCACGCCACCTGCTGGCCCTACATGTTTATATTTTAAGGTGCACGTTTTTCTACACTTCAGTAGGAAAAAATAGAAAATCAGGTGTTTAAAGAGATCATTAAAAACCAAACTGATCTTGGCATGCTGTCTTGGTCTCGCACTCCCATGGTCATTCATCAGAGATATCTGCAGAATGAGAAACACTTCATCTCCTGTAGGGAAGACATAATTGTCTCCTATCAACTGGAACCTCATTCAATGAACTATGAACAGCTGGTGGTGCAGAACCATCATCCTCATTTAAAATGGAAATAACTATGGTTTCTGAACTTCTTCTATTTCTATATGGGCATTAAATTTTTACTCACTATATTTAAACTATGATCTGGTCACAGTTCAGCTCCCTACACTGTAACACATACCTGTCATCTGCTTTAGTTTCTTTTTTCTCTTAGATTTTAGTTGACTCAGTACTTTCACCTGTAATACTACTTGGATCCTCTGTATGCTGGCTTTTGTGGTTTTGTATTAGTTTTTATTCATAAATTATGCTAATGATTTAAAACTACATTGCTGGTGTCAGTAGCTGGTGTGGAGGTTAAGGCAGTTGGATCCCACATGGCCAACTTAATGGTTCAAGTCCCAGATCCAGCTGCCTGAAAACCACACTGAGCATGTGTGCCCAAAATCCCAAGAGGAGAATGAATAAGAGTGGCCATTGCAGTGTAGCCATCCTCCCTGGGGAGCAATTTCTCACTCTTCTTCTCTTTCTCCAGCTGAGAACACATACCCTATAGCAAAACTAAAAACAAACAAAAACTACATTGGATTTTAAAATGAGAGCTAAAGTAAGCATTTTACTCAGAACTAAATGGTCCCAACACAATCCCTTCTGTTTCATCTCTCCCTCCTTTTGGGATTTTGAGTACATATGTACATGCACCCAGTATGTTTTTCAAGCCACCAGGCCTGGACCAGGTGGAATCCAGCTGCCTTAACTACCACACCACTGGCTGGCATCTCAGTACAACTTTTCTTTGTAATTCAATCTATTTACATTTATATTTATAAAAATAAAATATTTATAAAAATAAATATTCTGAAAGACTGCAATAGGGCTTAGAAAATGAATAGGATATTAAGAAACAAACCTTTCAAAAATATTTTATATAAAGAAAATAGTTGACTTTTAATATTTTTGCTCATATAAAATAAGCAATTTCTTCTTTTTTTAGCTTTAAAAAATATTATTTATTTATTTGTTGTGATTTTTCAAATCACTGGGTCTAGGGCTTGAGTCATGGTCAGCCATGTGGGAATCTAGCATGGCAGCCACCACACTGTTTGCTGGCCCCTCTTTAACTGCCTTTTGTTCTCCCCATAATTTTCTATAGGGTGTGTATGCTCACTGGAGAGAGAGAGAGAGAAATCACCCCCCCAGGGAGGATGCCCAAACTGCAATTTTTTCTCCTCCATTCTCTCAGGATTTTGGCATGCACACATGAACACAGGCCTAGAGTGTTTTTCAGGCCACTACGTCTAGGACTTCAACCGCATAGCCAGGCATATGGGATCCAGCCACCTTAACCGCCATGTCACTTGCTGACCTGCCTTCATTTTTTGTTTTTAATTTACTATAGGGCATATGTGCTCAACAAAGAGAGAAAAAAAAAGGAAAGAGAGAAAGCAACCCCTCAGGAGGGATGGTCATGCTCGAATCTGTTCTCCTCCATTCTCTTCTCAAGATTTTGGGCATACACACACACATAGCATGTTTTTCAAATCTCTGGTTCTGGGACTTGAACCAAGTAGTTGGCCATTGGGATTTAACCATTTTGTCACTAGCTGGCCCATTCTTCATTGTTAATGGAGACTGTCAGCCCTCTGGTTTAGCCCATCAACAAGTTTTATTTAGATTCTCAGTTCCTAGTGTATTGACTATTTCTGGATTTTTATACAGTAATGTAGAATGATTTTTACTGATGATCATTTTAATCAACCAGACAATTCACTCAGAAAATATATTGGACCTTAAGTCAAGCTACTTTGGGCTTTTTTTCATCCCATTTTCACATCAGTACATATTGTTAAAGTATAATTTTGTTCTTAAAATTATGGACTATAATTATACAAAACATTTTTTTGATGTTGTTCTTACCTCCTGAGCTCACTGGTAAATGCCGTAACCAGTCATCTAAGCATTGTACTCAAATGTTTTTCTGTTAATTATGATAATAATGTTACTATACAAGAAGCTGTTTTGATGGATGAGTTAATCTAGGGAATGTGCTTTGAGATCTTTTGAAAGATACATTAGAGACAGAAAAAATCATAGGAGCATATACTGAAGATGTTAAAGATTATAATAATTTATATCTAAGTAGGAAATATTAGAAAAGGGGCATACTAAAAACATGTTCTTAGTATTTTTATCATTTTTGGCAGGTTTTCATCATTTAAATACCTTACTATATTCCTGATAAATAATTCAAATAATTTTATAATTTACTTTCAATGATTAGTTTTGGGACTACCAATTTGGTAGTTGAAAACATTTACTATTTTTCTGGATTTTTACTAATACTGAAGAATTATATGATCACTTTTCATTATCACCAGTAAGTACTTATTACACTCCAATTTGATCACAGTACAATGCAAGACCAAAAACAAAGAAAATAATCTAGATTAAGCCCTTAATCTGTAACAGGTTTCATTTTGAATCTAAGTCTTCCTTTCTATAATTCTTCAGTCCTTTAAAATTGAATAAATAGCATTCTCAGGAATATCACGCTTGACCCATAGTCATATAGTTCAGTTAGGGCAAGAAGTTTGGTCTCAACTTCAGTTTCTCATTCAATTATTCTGTATCTTAATTTTACTTGGGAGGAGCAACTTCCCAGGAGTTGCTGGAAAATAAAAAGATACTTTAGCCAACCTGACAGTGGGACAAAATCATAGTTGTCATAATCAAA